TGGTTATTGATGATACCAAGCAAGTATACTCTGATGAGCGCTTGGCACACAATATCCCATGTTCAACTGTAGCAAGTATGATATAACAGAATATAGGCCTCTCATTGCTCAGGTTGTTTTGAGAACTTAAATGTAGAAAGGGTAGAAAATACCACAGCAAATTAGTCACTGCTTAATTTTTCACAAACTAAAAAGTTGTATGTCTTACAATGATTACATACGTAGTATGTAATTATGTAATCAACCACTTGTGTGGTTGAAATGTATGAATACTTACCATGTAATGTATATACAGAAGGATCTTTGTGTCCACGGGGGATAATTTCGAAGGGCCTGCCGAGGATACCGAAACCACGGGGGAATTCGTAGCAAACCTATATATAAGGTCCTGTTTAATACCAATTATAACCTTTAATAGATAAATTATGCACAATATGTGGAGAACTATCACCTTTTCACCGATCGGAAGCACTTCATGTCGTGTCTTAGGTTTGAAAATAGATTTAGATTTTGGATTTTGCCATCGAAGTGGCTAGTTTATTGTGCACCCCATATCCATCCTGTGGACGGCAGCGCAAGAGCATATGGATACACGAAAGTCCTAGGAACTAGGCCCCAAAAGGGTTAACAGGAATACAATTGGAGTTATATCTACAGTTCACTTATCTGTTGCAAACAAATTTAGGAAATTTGCTTAGTATATCTGGTATCTTATTTTCATTAATAAGACTGATGAATTGACAGCTTCTCTACTTTTATAATTTGGGGCTATTTTTATACCAAAATAAGAGGTAACAATATGTCTTGATTATCCTATAAAGGCCACAGTAAACCGTGAGTAACTGAAACCGCGTATACCGAATCAGTGGATACAGGGGTTCTACTGTACCTCATAATATTGTTACCATGTATTCTTGAAATTATCAATAAATGCTTACCAAGTATTCTTGGTAATTGTCAACAATTGTTGCTATCAATTCTGTAATGTCCACCATTGTACATAATTTAATTTCACTTGTATTGTCACCATTGTACATAAATATATACTTGTATTGTCACCATTGTACATAAATATATACTTGTATTGTCACCATTGTACATAAATATATACTTGTATTGTCACCATTGTACATAAAACGTATATACTTGTATTGGTCACCATTGTCATAAAGTTATTCTTCTGTCATTGTCACCTATTCGTACATACATAATATACTTGTATTGTCACATTGTACATATATATAGACTTGTAATTGTCACCATGTACATAAATGTACTACTTGGTATTGTCACCATTGTACATAAATATATACTTGTATTGTCACCATTGTACATAATGCTTATTATATCAATAAAAAATTTTTTTTTAATGTTTTATTTACCATGCTTACCATAGTAAAGCTTTCCTGGGTTTGAAAATGCTGTCCTCAGTATAAGAATACCTAAATATTACCATTATTTATGTGTTACACAAACTAAAATGAGGACCAGGAGCTGTAACTTAAGATCCACATCAGTGGTAGAATGTGATAATTATGCTGTGAGAGATATACTGCTTACAATACATACCCTGTCTTGTTAACGAGATACTTATGTACGTTGAATAATACACCTTTTTCTGTACAACGAAATAAGGTTGAGATTAGAGTGAGTCTAGAGCAAAGAAGGATATGTAACCCAAGAAATCGTAATGACACGATTGCAAACAAACCATACCCCCGGCCGGGATTGAACCCGCGGTCATAGTCTCAAAACTCCAGCCCGTCGCGTTAGCCACTAGACCAGCTAGCCACAATAAGATTCATCCAACTAGGTATATTTCTACACCATAGGAAGGTTAGCACAGGCACCTCTGTGACCACAAATGCAAGTTTTTACAGACTAATCTCCAGCTAGCGTGGCCGTGACGAACTCTAGCTCAAGTCCCTTCACTGCCGTCAACATGGCTCAAAGAAATCGTTAATGACACGATTGCAAACAAACCATACCACCGGCAGGGATTAGAAACCCGCGGTCATAGAGTCTCAAAAACTCCAGACCGTCGCGTTAGCACTAGACCAGCTAGCCACATAAGATTCATCCAACTAGGTATATTTCTACACCATAGGAAAGTTAGCACAGGCACCACTGTGACCACAAATGCAAGTTTTTACAGACGAATCTCTTATTGTGGCTAGCTGGTCTAGTGGCTAACGCGACGGGCTGGAGTTTTGAGACTCTGTGACCGCAGGTTCAATCCCGGCCGGGGTATTGGTTATGGTTAAGGAATATGTACTTGAAACCACGAGAGATTTAAAACCTTAAGGGAAATAGTATCATACATTTCATTTTTACGAAAAAATGAGGAAAAGGAGGAAAATCAGGAAAAGAAAATTTGAACGGTAATGAAGTGAAGATAAGCTCTAGGGGAAATGAACCCGAAATTTCACAAGCCATAAATATAATACCTAATACCTTCATAGGGTCCTAGAGTTAGAACCTAGCTACTAACTGCTCTCTGCACGCTTGATGTTCAACCTTGTTTGTAAATAAATTAAAGGCAAATTGACCTAAAGTCAAGGCAAGTGTAGGGTATTTAAAGTTCAGGTTTATCATTCCTAAGGAGGAAACATGATGGCTTGGTTGGGATTTGTTTGGACCTAGTCTAGCGAGAGATGTTAAGTTTAGACTACCTAATTTGTTTCTCGTTGTTGAAAATGTGTTCAGGAACTTCCTTGAGGGGTGGAGATGAGCATTGCTTATACTTGGATACAACTCAGTTATGCTTTTTTTCAGTGTGTGATGCCCCCCCCCCCCCCCCGAGCCAATATATCTGGGATTATGAGACTCTCGTATGATTTCCTTCCTGTATTTTACTGTCATTATATACTGGATGCTTTACTAAAATAAACATACACAGCATCTTTCCTTGATCTGGCTGCTTGAGCATCTCTAGGTACATGAAATGATTTTTTCCTTGTTTTTTCATATCTAGTCTAGTAGGTCATAAACGCTATTTCACCATAGTATTTAATCGGTGTTTACTGTGATGATAATGTGAGCTGTGTCAGCGGTGGTGATCTCGATGTTCTGCTCAGATTCTTCGGAGTTTTTTTATATGGCATTTTCGTACATTTTATTGCCTTTATATTGATTTCTTGTGATCATTATAATCTAAAGTCTTGATGCTCGTCATTTATGCTTAAATAAACTAAGTGAACGCCATTAGTCATTCACTGAAGAGTTTGTAATATCTAGTGCAGTGATTCTCAACTTTTCCTCCATCATTAACACCCTCGGGTAGATGTATTTCTACATTTATCTCCCTACTTCCATATGAAAAAAATTATCGTCATCATAAAGGGACAGAAAAACAAGGTCAGAAAATTTTAATTTAATTATTATTCAGTTATTAGGGACATCAAATATTTACCCTTTGCCATGTAATTTTTTACCCCCAGGGGGTAAATTTCCCCCTGGTTGAGAATCATTGGTCTAGTGTTAACCAAATAATTATTGTAAATTAAGCTTCGTACTACCTTAGTACATTAATTAATTCATTTATCCAAGTTCATTGACAGAGTAAAAATTATTAAAGAAATATGTTTGTCATTATTAATTAGAGGAATCATCTGAAATTTGTCATTTATTAATATGGACGAAAACAGTAATAACAATTCAAAGAATTAAAATGAGGAGTGGCAAAAAAGACAAAAAAATGGTGCAAATTTATACTTACTAATATGTGAATATCTCCTTATGAAAATAATGACAAAATGCAAAATATAAAAAACTCTTATAGACAATGCTTCTGAGAGAAGCATTGTCAGTGAAACAAACTCAAAATACTAAAAAAAAATGTGTACTTTTTAAGAAGCTTGTCATCAGTTAACAGCAACTTGCAACAAAGGCAGAATCCATGAAAAAGAATAGTTGCTTGACAAGAAGTTTGTGAGAGAGTTGACTGACCAAAGCCCTGGTAATTAATGAAGAGGAAAAGGGATGTAAATGGGTTAAGGATGTGTGGGGGAGAGAAGAGGAAATATGAAGGATTAGTGGCTCTTCCACTCTTGAGTTTTGCTTGATTATTTTTGTATGAAATTTATGTAAAATGCGTACTGCGCTGCCCACTGTTCATACATATGTATACATGAAAGCTGTCGACATATACACTCATGTAGATGTGTATATACATTTTTCCATGAAGTGGGATTCCTGAAGCTTGTGGTCCCAAGGTGTGTACACTGCCTAGTACTTGCTAGGCACAGTTTTCTTCCTTCGGCTGGCTCGGTGTTTTGTCTTCGGTGGTCTTCATCGTGTTCACGTGTTCAGGTATTCAGGGGTGTTAAAACAGTGATAGAGTTATCAGTTTTGAATGCCGACAGGTTCCGGTGTTATCTAAACTTTTTTTTCTCTTCTGGCAGAGCACTTGGAAAGTCATCCTTGTGAGTGTAGCATCTCAGTCTTGTTACAATGTTAAATTATGTGATTTGTGCGGTGATTCATGGATCAAATAGTCTGTGCTGTTAATCGGATGAGGTAGGTTTTCTTCTTCAGAAAAGAAGAGGTCGTGAATATCATACAGCAGCCAGGAGATTTTCTTGAGCTTGTGGAGGTCTGACGTTGGACTGTGTCGATCTCGAGCAATTCGAAATCTACAGACGAATGTCAATGAGCTAGCGTTTGAGCATGCCTGAATTGGCTTTTTGTGTAACATCTCCCTAGTAGATGTGTGTCTGATCTGTATCAGGACCATCAGGAGTCGCAAAACTGGAAAGAGACGGCTTTCTGCTAAGTTTATTTCATACTGACGTCACAGCCTGTCAGGGTTCGTATCCCAGGATCTTATTTGTAACTCTTGAAAGCAATAAAGAATGCCTGTTGATTGTACTCTTCCATACATGGGTGCGTGTAAAACAAATTAAGAGTGGAGTAATAGAGAAAAAAATCAACTTAACCACCGACTGATAGAAGTGTATCGGCGTGGAATGGTGAAACTATGAACTATGTAAACGGTCGCGGGTTCCTGTAATTGTGAAATTCAAGAGTGACTCAGCTACAATAAAGTTGGTAAGTGGAACATAAGAGAAGCAACGTTTTCTGGAAATGTGACACACCTCGTATATGTAAACTTCCCAGTTCATTTATATTGCTATTTTGGCCAACCTCTAGTATATCTGTCTGTTAAGGTAGAGTTAGGATATGAGACCTAAGAAATATTTTGGTAAGCGGTTCCTTATAATGTTGCACTTACTATGTAATATAAAACTGATATATGAAATTTATGCACATTCTCCAATAAATGTGCATTGTTTGCTAACCAAACTACTAATTAGTATAATCAGGTCATCAATAGTCCATATACAGCCCACTGGTTTAAATTTAATAATTCATAAATACTTGAAATCCAGTTTATGGAAGAGTGGGATGAGTGGGTTGGTATCGAAGAAGAGATACTGTTGCGACCAGTGTCCCTAAAATACTATCCATCATCGAGGTACAACCAATATTAATAAGTGTTATGTCTCTTTTAGTTGTGTCCTCCCCAAATTATGTGTGTGTAATAATTCATTCACATAATTTCTCACAGTTGACCAGAGTCACAGAGTAACATCAAATATTGCTGATTTCCAATTTGTGGGTTTGTGGCACAGTAAATGGCCAATCCTATCACGTTTACATGATTGTCGTTTTTATCAGTTTGGGTGGAGGACAAAACGTGTATTACATCGTCAGCAAATTGTGATATATTAGGGCTGGGGAGGTAATTCAAGTCTCACACAGGAACCCTGGGGCACTCTAGTTGTCGGTTTAATGTTCGGGCATCCTGACCTGTATCGTGTAAACACGCAGATTGTGAACTCTCTGCAAGCTGAACCAACCATGCCTTCTTACGGGCAAATAAACCAGCAAGTGAGGGAGGAGCTAGAGGAAGCTAAGAGATATGGTGACTGACTGAGGAAAACAAGAGGATTCGTAGTAATCCTTTTGTGATGATTTCTCAGAACAACGAAGAAAGATAGACAGTGGTTGTGAGTAAAGGGACGAAGCTGAAGGTCAAGAGGAAGGATAGAGGGATGGGAGCCACGAACACCTTAGCTATGCTCCAGGACAAATGCAGAGCGACCAACATAACGACCAGGGACGACGGTAAGACGACGGACCACATAATGAAATGCACCAGTGAATGTAAGAATGTTGTTATTGTTGGGGATTCCCAGACAAAATTCATGGAGAGGGCGTTTTGTCCTAGGGATAACAAAAGGAGGCAGAGCGTGTGTTTTCCTTGGGCTACGATACAGGATATTGTTAGCCATCTTGGCAACATTATGAAAGATAATGGGACTAATTCAATCATCACTGCTGGAGGCAAAGATGTTGGCAAGAGTAGAAGTGAGGATTTCGTTAGCTCTCTAAAATTTTGACGAGGAGACGACTTGGAAATGAATGATTCTCCAGGGGCAACTGATATTAAATCCTGTCTGGGCAATCACTAAGGACATTGCGGTACAATGCAGTATGCTTATTGTTCACAAATTGCATATCTGGCAAGTTCACAACCTACATCATTGAAATAATAGTGTACACTATAATCAATCAGAACACAGTTTTGACTTGTTCCACCGTCTGGCATTTGTTTATTGTCACAGCCATAATTAGCCCAGTAAGGAGTTCCCATCTGAACAGGTTCTTGGTCCACCCAAAGCCACACTCCTTCATGTCCCTCGTCTGTGCCGCCGATCCAATAAGGATGATCAGGGAAACCTGAAAATCAGAACATTACTTTTTTTTGGAAAATCATATAAGTGTGAAATCTTTCCAAAATATTTTTTTTTGTCTTAATTAAATAATGTAAAATGAATAACTATTGCCATAAATATTTAATTTTGTTACAAAACCATATATATATATATATATATATATATATATATATATATATAATATATATATATATATATATATATATATATATATATATACATATATATATATGCAAGAATTCTTCTCACTGAGTTAACAACTTTTGTCAACAACTGCCTGGCTGGGCGGACCCCAGAAGAAATTAAACATTTCTTTTCTGGAGCCTCATTATTCGCTTTGAAGAAGAAAGATGGGGGAATAAGGCCCATTGCTGTTGCTAACACTCTTCGCCGTTTCGTTGCCAAAGCGGCAGTAAGAAACATTCGCCTAGAAGCTACCAGTTTACTCCAGCCACACCAACTGGGCTTTGGGGTCCCTCAAGGCAGTGAAGCCGCAGCTCATGTGGCAAGGGCCTACATTAGGGACCTACCAGAAGACAAGGCCGTAGTCAAACTTGACTTTAGAAATGTCTTTAATATGGTAAAGAGAGCTGTGGTCTTGCCGGCTGTTCGGGATCGGTTCCCAGGCTTTTTCCCTTTATTTCAGCTGGTTACAGCAAATCCTCAATTCTTTTGTTTGGCGAACATGAAATTTCCTCATCAGAGGGTGTTCAGCAGGATGAGCCACTCGCTCCACTTCTCTTCTGCTTGACAGTACGAGAACTAAATTCCAGCCTATGCACAGAGCTCAACATCTGGTACCTGGATGATGACACTCTGACAGGTGCTGAAGAGTCCCTGTTAGAGGACCTACAAGTGTGAAATCATCACAAGAAACCAGGAAATATTCAATGCTGTGCGAACATCCTTCCCGGACTACCACTCCATCCATCAGTACCCTCTTGAGAGCACCGCTGGGTCGCCAGGCCATTGACACAGTCCTCAAGGATAAATTGAGTGACCTAAAGAGAATGGAGGCGAGAATAAGCGATCTTGATGCCCATGATGCCCTGTGTCTCCTCACAAGGTGTCTTACTATGCCAAGACTCACTTCCTGAGGCGTACACTCTCTTTTGACAACCCAACACTCGATGAATATGACGGACACCTGAGATCAACCTTAAAGAAGACCCTGAACCTGTCACTAGAGGATCAGCAATGGGATCAGGCAACCCTCCCAGTGCAACTGGGAGGTATAGGGGTGCAAAAAGCAACGCAGGTAGCTTTACCTGCATTTCTGTCTTCGTGTTTGGCTTCCAGTGGATTAGTCAAGAAGATTGTCCCTGAAAGCTTGAGAAACACGGTAGGAGCTCAAGACCCCAGGTTCAACGAAGCAGCCAGGCGGTGGGACACCCTTGCAGACTCCTTCCTCACAGCTGTTCCCACTTCCTCCCTGGGCACTCGACTCGACCCACAGGCCATTCGGATTGGTGTTGCTCTTCGCCTAGCCCCCCCCCATCCTCACCGAAATAGGGTATTTGCGCAGGGGGACGGTGATCAATTCGGCTTCTGGTTTCCTGGTCACAATCAAAAGGGAAGTACGCCGAATGAGGAGGTAAATGAATCTACGAGAAGTTCACAACACCCATCCCCAGCCAAGTGCAGAGGTTGATGGAAGTAAAAAAACCTCCTGATGGGGGCATTTTGTCCCGGGAAGGAGGGAAAAGCTGTTGGCTGGGACTACACCTTTGACCCCCACAATGGGAGACACCTACTTGACATACTTCTTGCGAAGGGGGGGTGGAGCTGCCAGCCAAGGGAAACCAGAAGACCCGCAAATATAAAGGTTTCCCCCTTGCTAAACTTCTCCCTGGCAAGTGTGCTCAAAATTTCCCTCAAGAGCTTGGAAAAAAATCGTCATAGAAGCCAAGGACCACGGGCGACCAGCTTCCTCTTTAGAAAATCAGTGTGCGATCCAGAGTGGGAAAAGCCTGCAGTATTCTGGATACGCGGCCACAGCCGGGGGGGGTGGCGAAGTTTCGGATGAACTCTGAGTTATTAGTGTAATCCCATTTATTTTTTTCAGGCGTATTTTTTCAAAGTATTTTGTTTTAAATAAAGTATTATAAAAACTAGGGGTGGTAGGATAAAAAAATTTTCAAACGTTCGGGAGAACCTTGAGTTTTCCCCGGAGAAATTTTTCCTTTTCTGAGGATGAGGATCCCAGGGGGCGTTCCCGCGGGGGTACCTCCCCATATAAATACACACACACGCAACACACACACACAACACACCAACCACACACACACACAGTATGCCACCAGGGCTCCCCCCCTCACAGGCCCCCCCCAAAAACCGTGTTGGAAGGAAAATGAAGGGATGGTACACAAACGCGATGGAAAAACAAATAAGTGGAGGAGTGGATGAAAGAGTAAAGAAGATCACCGGGAAACATAGCTCCAGAAAAAAAGCTTACAGGTTGAAACAGATGCCATCTTTCCAACGGGATACCAAACTGGGGGAAAGACAAAGGGAAAAAGGGGGGGGGGGAGGAGTGGCGTTGTGATCAAAATTTTGGAGCTGGGGGGAGGAGACAGCGGAGAAGAAAATGATTAATAGCGGGAACATTAAATTTGGGGGTCCCCAAAGGGGGTAATAGCAAGGGATGTATAACCCCCCACAGAACAGCAGGAGGCCAAGGGGGAAAAGGGACGACGAGAGCCAAAAGAGCGATGGTTGAACCTGGTAGATGGCCGAAGAGCTCATGCATGCAGGGCAAAGTCCCGATCATGGGTGACTTTAACCACAAGGAGATCGATTGGGAGAACTTGGGGCCCCCAGGGGGCCAAGATACATGGGGCTAAGATGATGGAGGTGGTATGGAAAACTTCTGTGCCCAAACATAAGGGACCTACAAGAGAGAGGTAGAGGATGAACAGCAAGGCTGGACTTAGTATTCCCCTTGAGAGTGCAGATATCGAGGACATCACATACGAAAGACCCTTGGGGCCAGTGACCATGTGGTTTTAAGCTTCGAATACACAGTAGAGCTAAAAAAAGTGGAGGGAGAAGCAGGAAGGCCAGGACGAATGAAGCCAAACTACAAGAAAGGGGACTACACAGGAATGAGGAACTACCTGAACGGGGTTCAGTGGGACAGAGAACTGGCAGGGAAGCCAGTTAATGAGATGATGGATTTGTAGCAACAAAATGCAAGGAGGCTGAGGAGAGGTTTGTACCCAAGGGTAACAGGAATAATGAAAAAGCCAGGATGAGCCCATGGTTTACCCAAAGGTGCAGGGAGGCAAAAAACCAAGTGTGCTAGGGAATGGAAGAAATATAGAAGGCAAAGGACCCAGGAGAATAAGGAGAACAGTCGTAGAGCCAGAAACGAATATGCACAGATAAGAAGGGAGGCCCAAAGACAATATGAAAATGACATAGCAGCGAAAGCCAAATCTGACCCGAAACTGTTGTACAGCCACATCAGGAGGAAAACAACAGACAAGGACCAGGTAATCAGGCTAAGGAAGAAGGAGGAGAGACAACAAGAAATGACCGTGAAGTATGTGAAGAACTCAACAAGAGATTCAAAGAAGTGTTCAAAGAGGAGACAGAAGGGACTCCAGAAAGACGGAGAGGTGGGGCACACCACCAAGTGCTGGACACAGAGGCGCTATGTGTACCCCTAACAACAATATTCAATACATCTATCGAAACAGGGAGATTGCCTGAGGCATGGAAGACAGCAAATGTAGTCCCAATCTTATAAAAAAGGAGACAGACATGAAGCATTAAACTACAGACCAGTGTCATGACATGTATAGTATGCAAAATCATGGAGAAGATTATCAGGAGAAGAGTGGTGGAACACCTAGAAAGGAACGATCTCATCAACAGCAGCCAACATGGTTTCAGGGACGGGAAATCCTGTGTCACAAACCTACTGGAGTTCTATGACATGGTGACAGCAGTAAGACAAGAGAGAGAGGGGTGGGTGGATTGCATTTTCTTGGACTGCAAGAAGGCGTTTGACACAGTTCCACACAAGAGATTGGTGCAAAAACTGGAGGACCAAGCAGGGATAACAGGGAAGGCACTACAATGGATCAGGGAATACTTGTCAGGAAGACAGCAGCGAGTCATTGTACGTGGCGAGTGTCAGAGTGGGCACCTGTGACCAGCGGGAGTCCCGCAGGGGTCAGTCCTAGGACCAGTGCTGTTTCTGGTATTTGTGAACGACATGACGGAAGGAATAGACTCTGAGGTGTCCCTGTTTGCAGATGACGTGAAGTTGATGAGAAGAATTCACTCGATCGAGACCAGGCAGAACTACGAAGGGATCTGGACAGGCTGCAGACCTGGTCCAGCAATTGGCTCCTGGAGTTCAATCCCACAAGTGCAAAGTCATGAAGATTGGGAAGGGCAAAGAAGGCCGCAGACGGAGTACAGTCTAGGGGTCAGAGACTACAAACCTCACTCAAGGAAAAAGATCTTGGGGTGAGTATGACACCATGCACATCTCTGAAGCGCACATCAACCAAATAACTGCTGCAGCATATGGGCGCCTAGCAAACCTCAGAACAGCATTCCGACATCTTAATAAGGAATCATTCAGGACCTGTACACCGTGTACGTTAGGCCCATATTTGAGTATGCGGCACCAGTTTGGAACCACACCTAGCCAAGCACGTGAGAAGAAACTAGAGAAAGTGCAAAGGTTTGCAACAAGACTAGTCCCAGAGCTAAGAGGTATGTCCTACGAGGAGAGGTTAAGGGAAATCAACCTGACGACACTGGAGGACAGGAGAGATAGGGGGGACATGATAACGACATACAAAATACTGAGAGGAATTGACAAGGTGGACAAAGACAGGATGTTCCAGAGATTGGACACAGTAACAAGGGGACACAGTTGGAAGCTAAAGACACAGATGAATCACAGGGATGTTAGGAAGTATTTCTTCAGCCACAGAGTAGTCAGTAAGTGGAATAGTTTGGGAAGCGATGTAGTGGAGGCAGGAT